CTGCGCTTGAGGAGGCGACAGCTGCTGGGTGATGGGCCTGACTCTGAGCTTCAGCAGCCATCATCATCTCCCGGGACGGTGGTGGAAGCCACCAACACGGAAACTACTATCAAAGAGAAGCCTCTTCCCAGACTAAACCCCCACTCTGCCTTCTGGATCCTGGCCTCCATCGCCACGACCTACTACGCTGAATTTTTTAAGAATGTGAAAGAGATGATTCTTCAAGAAAACTGGTGGTTTATGCTTGGCAGCTTTTTACTGATGATCAGCCTCTCTGTGGCCTTTTATTGCATCTTCTATCTTGAGTGGTATCGGGGCATTAAGGACTACGATGCCCACTACCCGGCCCTGATTCCAGTCACCACGGCCAGTTTTATCGCGGCCGCCGTGTGTTTTAACATTTCCTTATGGCCTGTGTGGTCTTTCGTCACTCCTCTTGTGCTCTTCGTCCAGTTCATGGGGGCTGTGATGCTGGTGTCGCTCTTGGGCTGAAAAAAAACCACCTTTTGATTTCCAAGTTGGGCAGAACTGGTGAATCTGATTCGCTCCATTGTCGTCTTAACTTCCCGTGACTTTATTTTGACTGTCTGAATGCTTTTGCCATGTATGCCAAGATTTTACAGTTTTATAAGATGCTTGTTCTATGTAAAGAAACAGTCTGATTTTCTTTATTATCTATTCCTTTACTGGGCAGGAGCATATTTTTAGAGATGTAAATGGTGAAATTGACATATATGCTTCGAATAAACTGGGTGTAAGGATAAAGTTTTTGTAAGGTCGTCTGAAGTTATTTTTGTTTTTAAAAGAAGATCCATGTGAATTCTTTATAGTAAAGGGGATGTTTTACTTTGTTCCATCGGTCCAAGGATATATAGAGCCATTAAATTTCTGTTTACAGTGACACAGAAATAGAGAGGTTTCCTTATGTTCTGGGTGAGAAACACAGGATTTCCCTAAGATTCTGGGTGAGAAAAACAGAAATAACAGAATTTTCCGCACATTCTGACTCAGAATTTCCCGCACATTCTGACTCAGAAATACAGAATTTTCCACACATTGTGGGTGAGGAATACAGAATTTTTCCTAAGATTCCTAGGTCATAAGAACACCTTATGCTCTTTTTGGTATTGCAGAGAAAAGCACACTGTAGGACACGTTACGACAGCCCTTCCAAGTAGACCACTGGCCAGGGAGGTACTTTCCAAAAGGTGTATTATCTATTTAAAATATTTTAGGCCGCCTTTTCTTCTTAAAAAAAACCCAAGCAAAGCAAAGCGTGCTGCTTATATACCGCCCCATAGCGCTTCAAGCACTCTCTGGGCGGTTTACAAGTTAATTATGCAGGCGGATCACATAATTAAAAATACACTATGCAGAAGCTAAAAACAGTAGGTATACAAATATTTTAAAATAATTAAACAAGTATGACATTAAAAACAGTAAGAAGTAGCCGTTTTAGGCGGTGGTGGAAAGGAAGGGAGAGGAAAACCCAACTTTATTTGGCATTAAAGTGCTGCCGGACTCCCGTTGTTTCTGCTTTTTCCAAGTTGGAAGGAAGAGAGACATGAAGGGACTCTTATACAGGTTGAGGGAATAACGTAACAGCAATCGGGCAGTGTTGACCACTCCTAATATTGCAGTTATTGCAGAAGCCAAGAAAGGGATTTGTAGCTACAGCCACGGATATATTGTGAGGATATTTGTGAGAGGGGGAGAAGTTAGTTGCGCAGGACAACTTTGCAATGAAAAATAAAAAACCCAGTTTTATTTTATTTAGGGTTTTGGGTTTTTTTTGTTTTTTGTTTTTTGCCTTCCATCTCCTGCGCTTTATTAGGATTATTACTAAATGCGTGCTCCGTGCTTGGGGAATGTGAGGAGCCGTGAAGCTTTGAGGCAGAAAATGCATGCTCTGTAATTACTGGGGGGAGGGTTTTTCTAATTAAAAGTCCCTTCATCAGCTTGTTTTAACAGCAGTCTGAACTTCAGTGATTGGTTTGTTGTTGTTATGTATCCTCAAATGGCTTCCTATAAATGAGCAAGCTCCGAAAGGCCCTCTCCTCCACCGCCCTGCTCAACAATTGCAAAAGCAAGCCTGTGGCTTCCTTTACGGAGTCTGTCCATCTCATGTTTCGTTTTTCCTCTTTTCCTGCTGCCTCCCACTTTTCCCAGCATTCTTGTCTTTTCAACATTTTTGCCTCCGGAGACAGTGCAGGCTTCATTTGATCTCGGACCCGCTTGCTTGTCTTTCTGGCTGCCCAGGGTATCCTCTATGCTCTCTTCCAGCATTACATTTCAGATTATTGTTTAGCGTCAGCTGTAAACTATGTAATTGTTTTGTGATGCTTTAAAAGGCTCCTGGTAAAGGAAAAGGTTCCCCTTGACATTTAGTCCAGTCGTGTCCGACTCTAGGGCGTGGTGTTCATCTCCGTTTCCAAGCCGTAGAGCCAGCGTTTGTCCAAAGACAGTTTTTGAGCTCACGTGGCCAGCGCAACTAGACACGGAACGCCGTTACCTTCCCACCGAGGTGGTATTTATTTATCTACTCGCATTTCAAACTGTTAGATTGGCAGGAGCTGGGACAAGCAACGGGAGCTCACTCCGTTCCGTGGATTCGGTCTTACAACAGCCGGTCTTCTGACCCTGCAGCACAGAGGCCTGTGCAGTTTAACCCGCAGCGCCACCACGTCCCTGGAGAATAGTTGAGTTCTTTTCTCTCTGTCCAAAAAACTCCCAAAAGATTGAGTTCACTTAAAAAACAACTGCATACTGTCTCAAGTCTGGAATAGGAAATGTCTCATTCCTGAGCTTCCCTCCTCCCCACCCCAATATAACGCAAGATATTTGGAAAACTAGAATCCACAAAAGTAACTTTTCCATTAGCTGGCTCCAGCAAACACCAAGTTCCTTAAATGGTCTCCCCTGACATCCAGAAATCACTTCCTTATCCCAGCACGGTGGTTTAGCCTGGATTGGAAGCGGAAAGTGTCCCATCTTTGTAATTTTTTTTATATGCCAGGACATTTTGGCCCCTTAGTCAATTTTACTCCTGTTTGCCTTGGGGTGAGGCAGGAGAGATCCCAAAGTATTAGAAATGGATGTTACTCCATAGTAGGCATTCCCCTACACATTCTTTGAATGGTGGTCCTTCATTCAAATGTATAAAAGCCAGATTCTCATCTGCTTCCTCTGGCTTCACTCCTTTGAGGGGCCTGTTTAGATTATTGGCACCCCTTTCTATGTCTGTTGTTTAGTCCGACTCTTCGTGACCCCATGGACCAGAGCACGCCAGGCCCTCCTGTCTTCCACAGCCTCCCAAAGTTGTGTCAAATTCATGTTGGTCACTTCGATGACACTGTCCAAATCATCTCGTCCTCTCTCATCTCCTTCGCCTCCTGCCTTCACTCTTTCCCAACATCAGGGTCTTTTCCAGGGAGTCTTCTCTTCTCATGAGGTGGCCAATGTATTGGAGCCTCAGCTTCAGGATCTGTCCTTCCAGTGAGCATTCAGGGTTGGTTTCCTTCAGAACGCATAGGTTTGTTCTCCTTGCAGTCCAGGGGACTCTCAAGAGCCTCCTCCAGTACTAACTAAATGTATGTCTAACAATAAGTAATTATTGTTACCAATTAGATACGTAATTATCTTTAGTTCAGTCCCTGTCAA